GTCCTTTTTGTGTCCTTTTTGTCCCACTTTTATTTTTTTAAGACTGATCTTTTTGTCATTGATTGTGTAAAACTGTTTAGAAACAAATAAAGTGACTCAACTGCTGGAAATGTGTCATTTTTATTTTAAAAGGTTTTCCCCAAACTTTGAAATGGTCAGGAGTTTGTTGATGTGCCATTGAAGTGTAGCTGAACACAGGCCATAATGTTAACTTGGTACATCAGATGGCAAAATTATTTTATGTTGACATTTCAAAAGTATTTTAGGTTTAGAATGAACATCAAATTTTAATCACATTAAAACTATTTTTTTGTTAATTTCTATATTGGCTCAACAACAGTAATGTAGAATCAATATCATAGTGTAACATTGATTCAATTACATGTTACAGTTTTTCTCATTTGCTAAGACACGCTTAATGAGACTGGGATCCACTTGATCTTCATCATCACATTCTTAGCAAAGCAGAAGTCTTCTCTTGCAAATGGCTTAAAGGGGTCATATGATGCGATTTCAATTTTTCCTTTCTCTTTGGAGTGTTACAAGCTCTTGGTGCATAAAGAAGATCTGTAAAGTTGCAAAAACTGAAGTCTCAAATCCAAAGAGATATTCTTTATAAAAGTTAAGAGTCAACCACGCCTACCTAAAACAAAAGGAAAACATCTATTCACAGCTGATAGAAAGTACTTGCATAATTATGAATTTCTAATGCACCGGTGTGAAACTCATTTGCAGATCAGTCCTCATCCCTCTATAAAAGATTCCACCTCTGTCCTGCTATTTGCAAGTATGGATCAAAGAGACCAAAGGCATGGAAGGAGAGTAAGAGACCATGGCAGAGGACCAGAGAAAGAGGAGTTTGCATACATGGTGGAGGAGCTGCATTACTGTAAAAGGAGAAAATACAGCTCAAGTTTCAAATGAAATTCAGGCAACAATGAATTTCATTAGAGAGGCTGGACAAAGGGTCCAACCCATTCTAAGTCAGAGCACTGTGGCATCTATTGCCAGGCTTTTTTCAAAATGACAACAGGTAAGTCACAATGTTACTGTATACCACTGTGTATTTCAGCTTTACTGTATTGCCCTTTTGGCAGAACAAACTTTGTCTACAGTAATGCAGATGTTTCATCAGTCCCATTTTTGTGTTTGTCATAATGTCAATTTTGATATGCTTTGTTTGGATTTGTTATTGTAATGCAATGTTATACCATACAGTTACATGCAACTGGAATAATTTGCTCTATGA